AATTTAACATTTTGTCCATCTGGGCCTTTTGTTTTCAATTCAGAAGCAGCATTTTAAAAGAGACTAAATATAGACATTCTGAAAGTGAGGAAAAAAAGATACCTTTGGTGCCTTAAGTTTCTATTATATTGCATTCATTTAGGATTAGGGAGAAAATTAAACCACTTTTAAGAGCACTTTAACATTATATGGAAAGACTTTAACCCTAGTAGAGTATCACAGACAATGTACTTTATTGAGAAAACACTAAGCTAGAGCCAAGAAATCCCACTGTGGATAATCATTAATATCAGAAAAGGAATCAGTGAAATGAGGAACTGGAATATATCTTCAGGTTCTTTCCAGCTCAGAACTTTTAGTCTTCGTCCATAAAATCCTCAAACATTCACCTCAGGGTCTAATAATGAGAAGATATATACAAGATTCTAGGTGGATTCAGCAGGGGAAAGTATTCTGCTTCCCATGGAAAAACCTTACAGTCTAATTTTGGAGACAGATTATTCACATTAAAAGATGCATTCCCACATCAAACATTTATTAGAAACTTACTTGGCACCAGAAATTGTGATAAATGCACTTGCTCTAAGACAGTATCCTTAAGAGTTTACACTTGAGCAGAGGGGAAACACGTAGATGTGGAAATATTCTGAAAATTTTTATGGAATATAACAGAATTGCGTGCAGTATTACTAACATCTAAAAATCTGGATGGTCAGTCCAGTATAGGATACGCTAAATGAAATTTGAATGGCAAGGGAGAAAACATGTATTTATTGAGTCCTACCACATGTAGTGTACAAATTTTTAGTACTTTACATACATAAATGAATTATTTCTTTAGATAAGCTGTTAATTAACCACCATTTTGCAGATAACCAAACAGATTTAGAAAACCTATGTAATTGCTGGGAAGCCAGACACAAGATAGTGTCAGGATAATTTATACCCAGGTCTTTGAGATCCCAGAGTGGTAAGAACATGGGGGATGCATATGTTCAGAGGAGTATGGGGAAAAGGTAAAACTTGGCATACATTTTGAAAGAGGATTAGGGTATTCTAATTGGATTTTTATTTCGAGATAATTGTAGATTCACAGACAGTTGTAAGAAAAGATAAATTTCATGTGCCTTTTACCCTGTGTCCCTGAATGTTAACATCCTGAAACTCTAGTGCAATGCCATAACCAGACATCAACAATGATACAGACAAAATGCAGAGTGTTTCCGTCACCACAGGATGCATCATGCTGCTGTTTTGTGGCCACAGCATCCACTGCCCCCTGCATCCCTGCTAACCACTCATTACTTCTCCATTTCCCAATGTTGTCACTTTGAAAATGTTACATAAATAGAATCATGGTCTATGTAGTCCTTTGGGATATTTTTCAATCTACATATTTCTCTGAAGATTCATCCAGATGGTTGCATGTATCAAGAGTTCATCCTATTTTGTTTCTGAAGAGTGTTCCAAGGTATGGATTTAATAGCTTGTTTAATTGTTCATCCATTGAAGGTCATCAGTGTTGTTTCCAAGTTTCAGCATTTACAAACAAAATTAAAGATTTAGCTACAGGTTTTGTGTGAATATGAGTTTCCACTTCTATGAAATAAATGTCCAGGAATCCAATTGTTTGATCAAATGGTAGTTGTTGTTTTGAAAACTGCAAACTATTTTTCAACGTCATTGTACCATTTTACATTCCCTCTAGCAATAGATGAGTGATCCAGTAGTTGTGTATCCTCACCAGCATTTAGTACTGTCGCTATTTTTATTTTAGTCGTTCTGATAGGCGTGTAGTTATACCTCATTGAGGTTTTAATTTGCATTTTTCGAACAGGTAATATATTAAACATCTTTTCACATGCTTATTTGCTGTAAATAAATTCTGTTAGTTTTTCTTCATCTGAGAATGTCCTAAAGGATATTTTTACTAGATACAGGAATTTGAATTGACAGTTCTTTTAGAATTTGAACAATTGTATGCTACTTCTTTCTGGCCTGCACAGTTTCTGATGCAAAATGCACTGTCATTTGGATTGTTTTACCCTATAGGTAAGGTGTCATTTTCTTTTGTCAACATTTTTTCCCTAATTTTCGATAAGTTTAACTATGATTGGTCTTAATATGAATATTTTGGGGTTTATACTGTTTGGAATTCACTAAATTCTTGACTGTAGATTTGATCCTTTTTCTAAATTTGGGAAGTTTTCATTTTTTTTAGTACTATCAGCAATGCACTATTTATCCTCTCAAACTGGCCTTCAATGACTTTAATGTAGACCTTATGTTATCATCCCAGAGATCCTTAAGGCTCTATATTTTTTTGTTCAGACTATTTTCTTTGTGCCATTCAGATGGGATAATTTTTGAATTTTCACTTGTGTTTTTCAGCTCTAACTTTTCCATTTGTTTCTTCTTTGTATTTTCTATTTATTTGCTGAGGATGTCTATTTTTCTTTTACAGAGAACTCCTCTTTTTCCACTTATTTCACGCATGCTCACAATTGTTCATTGAAGCATTTTTATCATGGCCACTTTAAAATTCTTGCCAAAAACACATCTCTGTCATTTTAGTGTTGGCATCCACTGTCTTCTTTCATTCATTTTGAGATATTCTGGCTCTTGGTATGATGAGTAATGTTCAATTGTATCCTGGATATTTTGGGAATTATGTGATGAGACTCTGGATCATATCAAACATTCTGTTTTACGTGGGTTTCTCTCACCACCCTGGAAAGTGAAAGGCCAGCACTGCCTTGTTACTTCCCGGTATAGACAAAGTCCAGGCTCCCCACTTGGTCTTTGCTAGCGGTTGTGGGAGTTGGAGGCCACATTTTTTTCTGTGCTATTTGGCTGGATTCAAGCATTATTGTCCTAAAAGTTTTCTGTCTTCCCTAGTACTTTGGCAAGAGCAAGCAGACTTCGGTTGTGTTTTTCATTTTAGATTTTTTTATTTGTTTGTGTGTTTATCTGTGCCTTTTGGTGTTTCCAGGTTGCTGGCTTCTTCAGCTCCAGTTCTGGGATATATGCAGCAAAAACCCAGAAAACTCAGCAGGGTGCCATTTCTTGATCCCCAAGTTCCCTTAAACTATGGGCTTTGGTTGATAATGATAATGATAATGTTAGTTCATCGGTTATAATAAACATATCACTCTGAAGAGGGATGTTGGCGGTGAAGGAGTTTGTGGAGATGGAGGGAATATGTAGAAACTCTGTACTTTCTGTTCAATTTTGCTGTGAACCCAAAGCTGCACTAAAAAAAGGTGTATATATAAATGCCCTTGGCTTTTGAGAAGAGTTATAATAAACAGCCATATGTGCTTTCCTCTGTTTTTATCTTTAGCTGTTAAATAAGCTTTTATGCAACGTGTTGTACAATGCTTAATCAAAGATGCTTCTTAGAGCTGAGGGCTCAGGAAAAGTGGTACCTATCCGGATGGTTTGATTCCTCTTAGGAAATAAAAGATACAGAAGTCATTATATTTTCCCCTTTGACTTAGGAAGATTTGTTTTCAACACATCAGCCTTCCTCATCATGGATCTCTTGATACGATCCCTCTCACCTCAACACCCTTTTGTATGACTTGTAGAAGAGGTGTCAAGGGATGGCACTGACGCAATGAGGAGCAGCACGGGGAAGGTATAACTCTCCTGAACAGCTTAGCTGCAATTCCCAATATTAGAGCACTCTGTTTTGGACACTTTGTCTCTTGTGGTGTGTAATCTGTTTAAAAATCTTGTATAATGACTATTATTATTATTACTATTATTTCAATCTGTTAACTGAGACTTAGGAAGGCTCTAAACATTGACCAGAATAAAGTAATCATTAAGTGATGGAGCCACTTGCAAAATCTATGCACTTCCCATTGCACTATATTCACCTGATATTTTATATAGTTTGATGTCACTTCAGAATTCGAAGAATTATATAAGGAAGAAAACACTTAATACAAATTACCATTGTCTTCAGTCTGTATTTTCACTAATTTTTTCCATTTTCTAAATTGATCTTACAAATTCGTATCAAAAGCACTCTTTCAGAATTATCTGTTACAAAATAAATAATTTGTGGTTTTCCATTTTTTTGAGACAGGTTCTTGCTGTGTTGCTCAGACTGGAGTGCGGTAACACAATCACAGCTCACCACAACTTTGTGCTCCTGGGCTCAAGCAATACTCCTGCCTCAGCCTCCTGAGTAGCTGGGACTACAGTCATGTGCCACCACGCTCAGCTAATTTTTTTAAAAAATTTCTTTAGAGACAGGGTCTCACTATGTTGCCTAAGCTGGCCTCAAACTCCTGGCCCCACCTCGGCCTCCAAAAATGCTGGGGTTACATGTGGCCCATGCCCAGCCAATTTTCCATTTTTAATGCAGTAACACAATTTTCTATGAAATACAAATAATTCAATCATCCTTCTATCTCTAAGGACAATAATTCCTTCTTTATTTACAGGACAAGAAGAACATTCAGAGTTTATAAATTTGTAAAAATTCATTTGTTGGTGGTGGTGGTAGAAGTAGAAAATAGATGTACTTGGCACACCTAAGAAATGAATTAACCATAACAAAAGTAAATGCATTCTATCTCTCACTGTTGCTAGCTGACAATAGCAGTGTTAATTCCACCAGAAACTTCCCACGACATTAATGTTTTGTATGTCATTGGTTCTGAAAATAAATTAACATACCCCATCCAGCAGGTGGTTGAACTTTTAATAAATAATTACTCACAGTAAGATTTGCATTGGCTACAGGGTAGTTTTATAGTCAAATATTTTATCTTTGTGATATTCAAATAATTCAGATCTAGTTATGAACCAATAGCATTCTACAGCATTTTAAATCATATATAAGCTGATTACATTATCAAAAGCATTCACCTTCACAAAGTAACCAAAAGTGCCTCAGTTATATTGCTTAAAATGGTATTACTATATCACTTAATGATCATCAGGTATGTTCTAGTATGTATTGCCCTCTTTATCCAACATCTTACCTCCATTCTTAATTCACAGATCACTCTATCCTTGCTGTTTTGAGATTTAGATTCTTCCTTTATATCTCCTGATATTTCTTCCATTTCATTTTCATGTTGATTGTGAAGAATGTCAAACTGAAAAATAAGGTTAAAACTATAATTACATGATCCCACAAAGGCTTATTCCAGGAAAATTTATATTAATCTTCCAGTTTGCTTTAGGTCTTTTTTTTCTCTCATGTGGATTCTGGTAGGTTTTGTTGTTGGCGTGGTAGTTATTGTAGTTGAACCATTTATTCTTATATCTGTAGTTTAAAAATCCTAAGTTGTTAGAAAAAAAAATCAGCAAAACTCTGTAAATCCCAATTCAGCAAATGAAAAATAGGCAAAATTCAGTTATCTCCACAGACTCCTAAACAATTAACTGATTGGCTTCTAAACTAATCCAATCAATCTTGATCTTTTAGTCCTGAATATTAAATATTAGTACCTCAGTATTCCTTATAATCCTACTTATGTCTATTTTCTGTGAAGTATAAATAATATATTGATTATAATAAAGACAAACTTGGGCAGTGAAAAAAAAAGTACATATATAATTCTTGGGCTGGTGAAATATGTGTAGAACATCTACAAAAGTTGCCAAAAAATTGCCATAGGAAACTACTGAAGAAAAACATAGGAAGGTGAGAAAAATCCTATGAATTCAAACTATTTATTTTGCTACAGTTGTTCTTACAATTAGAAGTTTTCATCAGAACCATGAAATTTGATAAATATATAAAATGTGTAGTTGTACATACATATGCTATTTTGCTTTTATAACATATTTTTTCTAAACTTAATAGGCAAATGTTGCTGTCATTCATATTATGTAATTTGTATGTAATCCTATGATAAATTACAATATAATTTGTTTCTTATTACATCAACTATTTAAATATAAAAAATAATACTACTAGAAACATTGCTATTGTGAATAGTAGTATTAAGCATGTGCTAGTATTCAGGAACTGAACTTGATATATATATAGCCTTAGTTAATGCTAGCAGTAATCCTATGGGTTAGGTTTTATCATTATTATCCTTACCATACAGAAAAGTGAATCATATTTTTAAAAGGCTTAAGCAACTTTTCCAAATTCACCAAGATAATAACTGGAGGGAGCAAATTTTAAGAATGTTCCTACCAAATTAATTACCTGAGTGCTAACACAACATTGCATCTGTAAAGCTAAAGGCCATTGAAATAATTCTCTTAAAGGTAGTAAGCTGATGGATAATAGAGGACACATAGAGAAAATGCCATAGCCCATACATACTAGAAGTGGACTACCATGGGGGTAGGAGCTGATTTCCCAACTAACTAAGAAGCCCCATGCTCAGAGTGGGCAACATGGAGAGCACACGGAAGACAAGACAGAGAACAAAAG